GTGGACCGATATTGCCTATTTCGAACTCAATCTAATTTTGACAATAATATTACGATGTACCAAGTTTGAATCAAATCGGATACCCCCTTTCGAGAGTTATCGTGCGCACCAGTCAGACAGAGAGACGGACGGACGGACATCGCTAGATCGACTCCAAATGTCCTGAAACGGATTTGGTCCAAAGAGACCCAAGGTCTAAAACCGTTATTTTGATGATACACGTTTTGACCGTATCAAATGATATATACCCTCTCTAGCCATATTACTGAGGGTTTAAAAAGCAGTTATATGGGTATACAGAAAATATTCGTAATGTATTCTTTGTTTTGGAGATGTTTAGAAGGTACTCTATTTTCAGAAGACTTACATACCCAGTGAAATCTGATGAGCCGAATAACTCGTTTAAAAACAATGTAAACCAACTTCCTTCTACTATTCTAGGAGGTTGAAAATAAGGAGGTATTTTTTTAAAAAATTACAAAATTAAATAACTTACTTTTCTCATTACCAAGTAATGAGTAAAATCTATATCCGAAGGATATGAGTTCAAGACTTGAAACAACTCTTAAATTTTAGCTGAGTGTATAAGTTATTCCAATTACGAAATAAGCTTAAGAGACCGTTAAAAGCTCTTCCGTTCATTAAATATGATCCAGGGAGTTGCCATGATCTAATCCAACAGGTTTATATTAAATTATTTAAACCCCTAGCGGCGAATCGTCAAACTGCACAATAACATCAAAATAAAGATTTATTTTTCAGAGCTTTAAAACATTTTTCCAAAAAAAAAATAAATAAATAAATAAAAATAAAGAAATGTCAAGTCTAACGGGGCCCTACACCACTATGCATATTTTGTAGAGCTACCCGTAACAAAAAAGATGGGAGTTATATCCAATTCTGAATCGATTTTCACCAAATTGCACATTTCATACCAAATAACATTGCTAAAGAGCGAATGATATGACTTCGAAAAGGATTATTTTAAAAAATATATATATCGGTGCAATAAATATGGGAAGCGAGTTTCAGCAAATGCAAAAATTAGGTGAATGTTCAAAAATCAAACCCATTTAGGCTGAAATTACATATTTGTTGGCCAATAAACGTGAAATCAGTTGAAGATATATATGGGTTCTTTATCCAGATCTGAACTGTTTTCGATATAATTCGGCAGAGGTATTTCTAAACTCTATGAAATATCTAGTACCAAATATCATTATTTTGCAAATGTAAGGTACTTTAACACCAAATCGGATGAAACCTATACATAAAAGTTACAGCTATATCTCAACCTATTTTTACCAAATTTGAAGTACTTGCTTCCAGACTGAATTCGGTCGCAAGTAGCAAAATGCACTCTACCGAATTCAGCATCAAAATTGATAACTTGTGCAGGTTTTCGCACTGAATTCGTTAAAAAACTCGGAAAATGTGAGCTGGAATGGAGCTCACAATATAATCTCTCGCCCTTCTCAATTGAATATCGAGAGAGAATACATTATATTTTTTCTTATTATATCTACCATCATCATATTTCTAATGTATACTGAAGGTAGAGAACTGAGAGTATCAGCCAAGAATCGGACGAGAGTGGTGGTTTCTACTTAAATCCAATATTAGTGGTGAATAACTATTACTTCAAAAAATCTATAGAAGACCTCTTGAAAGTCTTTCATTTGCAAAAGGCCTCTTGTCCACTAGAGTGCTGAAAAAGATGTATTGGGTAAAAAAAAACAGCAGTTTTTAAAAAAAAATTGTCTACCTAATAGAGGTTCCACTGTAAATGTTAATGTTATTATTTCAGTTCATCTCAAATCCAAAGTTCTGTCATTTGCTATTAGCACTCAGGCAATTGCGGTTGACACTTGTTTTCATATTTTGAAGGACATAAATGACATGTTTTTATGACAACTCTGTTATATTTTGTGGTATTCTGTAGTGACGTTCATTGTGGTTGGAAATTTGAGATCATTTGCCAGCTGATATTGTTATAATTGCAGTTAAATTTCAATTTGAAAAACAAAAAAAAAAAATCCCTGTTCTTCACTTAATTAATGTCCCTTGTCTCGAATTGTAGAACTATTTGCCCCCAAAAAAATGTTCTCAGAAAATGACCAATTATGGAATAGGTAATCTTTCTTTCAAATCCTTTAAATATTTGAATTGACACAATTTAGATTGTTCTGATGGCTATTTAAAACTGGATGTCATTGAAAGAGTATTCTTAAAAACATCGATCGATAAATGTATATTTTATTATTGACATTTAATATTATTTTTTTTAACAAATATGTTTTGCTATTCTAAATATGGAATTAATAGTCTTTGGAAAATATTTTGGAAAATTGTGAAACTTTTCTTTAAATGTGAAATTGATATAACCAAAAAAAAAAAACACGATTAAGGAACATCTAATTCTTCATTGTTAGAATTAACATTTCCTCGAAAATGTGAAATACTTCAATTATGGAATTGATGGTCCAACGATTGTTGAACTAAAAACCTTTAAATTGTACTGATAGGCATTGTAAAACTATTTAAAAGGCTCATAGTTCTGGAACTTATAGTTTTTTAATTTTGAAACAGATGTTCCTTCGTGATGTTCCCCCACTGTGTCGAGGCTAGGAAGTTCCGCAGGGACATTAGTAGTATCAGTGAAAAGCTTAAAATATTGAAAAGTTAAAGATTCGGTTCAAAAATCCTATTTGGGTAGGAAGTCCTGCCAAAATTAACCTAGGTGACGCAGATATCCGAAGATATCCTAGCACATAGAATTCCGACACACCGAATCATAAGTTTTTCACTATTGGGACAGAGTGTAGTCTTTATAGGCTTCACACAGTTACCCACCCGATCCGGTTTGTGTCTTTACTAATTAAATACTAATTTATTTAAAATTATATTCTTAAAAAAAAATCAAGGCGAACCCTCGCGGATCGAATAAAAAATGTTACCATATACACTACTTGGGATTATGAGTACACGTTTAAAAAAAAATTTCTTAGGGAAGTCCATGCTTTCTGATTTGTGAGCTTCTAAATTTCGTTTCCAGTGTTTTCGAAACCATCCAAGACAATACGGGGCTTGTCGTACTGAGGACCTCGAAATGTACATTGGTAAACTTTTCAATATGATCGGCAAAGGGTCCCTAAACTCTACTTGTTCTGAAAGCATAGAGATGAATTGAAAACAATATTTTTAAAAATTCGCAGTTGAGAAAAAGTTAGTCCTTGTGTTCCAGGTAATCCAAGATTGTGATATTAGTTGTCCTTAAATCGTGAAACTGGCAGTCCATCAAAAAAAAAAAAAAAAAAAAAAAACTTAAAGAGACCAAGATTGTGGGTCTGATAGCCTTTTAAAAAATATTCTGCCGCCAACCAGATATTCGTCCAAAATGGAAAATTGAAAATTTCTGAAATAACTTTGAAAAATGAGTGTTCTGAAAGAGCTCTTTGAGGGCTTTCACTTCAGAAGGGTCTCAACCTGAACCCGTGAAAAGGTTTGTGTCCTTTCTACTTCAATTTACAATTAAAGGTATAAAACTATAAAGATTTAACCAAATCCATATGGCCTATTATTGTTTATACCCTCAGCAATATGGCTACAGAGGGCATATGTCATTTGATACGGCCAAAACGTGTCTCATCGAAATAACGATTTTAGACCTAGGTCCCTTTGGACCGACTCCGTTTTAGGACATTTGGAGTCGATCTTGAGGTGTCCGTCCGTTTGTCTGTCTTGGTACATCGTAACATCATTGACAAACTTAGATCGAGTGTGGAGATATAGATCCACTTTTGTTGGTACCTCCCCAACAAAGGTCAATTTTTTTCACAGAAAATAATTTTCGGTATACAACAATACCGGATTTTCTATTTTTCTGCAAGTTATGTAAATCCCAATAGTGCTATGTTATGTGCGAAAATGGACAATATCGACCCACTCCATCATGTACCTCCCACACAAAAGGGGCAAGATTTTGAATAAATGCAACTCTTATAAAATACGAAATAAGCATCCGATTCCGAATATATCAAACCACTCCTTCTGGTACACCCCCCCCCCCCCCCACAACTGTTCAAAATTTTAAATAATTACAACTCTTATAAAATACGAAATGAGCAGCCGATTCTCTTAAAATCCCACACATCCCACAACACAAGTCTTGGTATGAATATGGGATATATCGGTCTACTCCCTCTGGTACCTCCCCCACAAAGGGTCAACATTTTGAATAACCAGAACGCTTATCCAAGCAAAGTAAGTATCCGATTCACTTCAAATTTCACACTTCCCAATATTTCTAATAACACAAGATCTGGTGTGATACCCTTCTGGTATCTCCCCCAGATAGGGTCACAATTGTCAATATTTGTATATCTTATAATTTTCTCTCCCGAATCTCTCTTCCTTTTACAGACATTTTGTGTTAACAAATAACTGCATGTAATAATTTTGCAACAATCGTTACAAATTTTAGGGTAGCCAGACAGACCTAATATTTCAAAAATACAATAGTCAACATTTTGGAGGACCATCTACCCATCCCATTCTTTCGGATATGTTATGTCGTAGAAATCAATTGTTTCCATCCTTGGACTTCGAAAATGAAGACATGAATGACAATATTCTCCAAAAAGGATAATAATTTTAAAAGCCGGAAGTTTTTGAGAATAAGATTTAAGTGTTTTATCTTAAAATGAAATCAAAATGATTTTTCTTTAAATTTTTCAATAGAAAAGAAATATTCAATAGATTGCAATTATGATAGACAATGCAAGACCTTTTTGTGGATTTTTTATTTCATTCAATAAATTGTTCCACATGATTTGATTTGCCGGCGTTTCCTTGTCATTATCGCCATTACAGGAGAACAGGGGCTGATTTTCACTCTTATTATTTTTTTTTTTTACAAAAATATTATCTTAATTTAAACTATACAATTTTTGAGTATTAAATTTAATGTATTCTTTAAATTTGTTTTCAATTCTTTGTAGATGGACTAAATCGGATCTCTCTAATATTTAACTCAGGTAAGTGGTTATAAATTTCAATTCAAATTAATTTTTATTTATTTATTTATTTTTTTAACAGAGACATGTCGCACTAATCTTCTCATTCCATAAGTTATGCATTTTCCTTTGATTTTTTCGACCTTTATGACTTCTCTTTTCCGAGAAAAAATTTGTAACATCCTTAGACATGTGCACTTATTACTATCTCCTTGCAATCACTGTTTTTAATAAACAGAAAATATTTGTAAGTTTTTAGCAAACTTTCGAAAGTTATACATTTACTTCTTTTAGCTTAAGATCTTCCTTCAATAGTGTAATGTCTATTGAAAGAGGAAACTTTTCAAACTTAACTCCACAACAGTAATTGCTACCGCCAAATTATATTAATAAACATTTGTTTATTTCCAGTTTAAACTATGAGAATTATTTGAGGGGGGGTTGTCAGTAACTCACGGATATGTGAAGGGATGTGCTGAAGTGTTAAAAACATGGTCTTTATTCTTTTAAAAGAGTTTTTATGTTGTTGTGAGCTTAATAGTCCGTTACAAAAAGTGTTTGTTGTAAGTTTTTGTGTGACGAACTTTTAACCAGCCATAGCTTTCCTCTCGAAAAATAAACTCATGTAAATAACTGGAGATAATATTTTCAACATATTTTAATAACTTTCTGTGTTAAGTAAAAACTTTCATTGCCACTACTCACAAATCTATATATTATTCTGCAGGGTCATGTGGCCATAATAAGTGGTTATTATTTGATCACTAAAATTCGACAAAAGAAGAAAAAAGTTTTATTTTTTAATCGACGTTTCTTTTTTTTATTGTTCCATACGTTGCTACGCTGGTATTGAACTCGCAACCTTATGATTTTAACACTCTGTGCCCCTGTTGCAAATATTTTATTATACACTCAGTCACATGGCTACAGCCATCATCGAAATAACGGTTTTCGACCATAAGTCTCTTTGGACCAAATCCTTTTCAGGACATTTAGTGTCGACCTGCCTGTCCGTCAGACTGTTTGATTGTCTTCAAATTACACACATCACAATATTTTTAGTAACCCAAGATCTGGGTTATTTTTCTTAACATAATTTGTGAAGATGACATACCTGCGAACCGCTTCTGATACCTCACCCACAAAGGGTCACAATTTTTAATATTTTTATCTGTCATAACATGCAAAACAAGTCAGCGATTCTTTACAACTTGCTATATCTAAATATTTCGCTCAACCAGAATCCCGAGATGAATGTGGAATATTTTTGCCAAATTTTATCAAGATCGGTTCAGATTTGGATATAGTTTCCATATATACCTTTTTTGAGTTCAGGTTTATTGTATACCAGAAGGCTAATATCAGCCCAAATGGAGTGAACGCTTTTTGATACCGGGCATCAGGTACTGCTCAAAAATACATCTGCCAAATTTTATCGAGATCGGTTTCGATTCTTATATAGCTTCGATATCCATCTTCATCCGATTTTACGGTTATTGCTCACCATATATGTAATATCAACCCAAATTTACTTAACCCCGTCTATTGTAAGAGTAGGTAACCCTGCTATTTTTTATTCACTTATCCGTGAACACATGTATTTCCAAATCCACATCCATATATTAAACCCACCAAAGAGTGATATTTTCCTTCCTCAAATAAAATAGTACCATTTGGTACGAAACTAAATCTTTATATCCACCCTTCCTATCAAATTTAGTAACATTAAGTACAGTACTTACATAGTATACATTTCCAAAATCACCTTCTTATGTCCACCCTACATCCCAAACTTAGTATGTATACTAAAATTTAAAACACATGCAAAATTTGTAAAGTTTTGCCGATGGAAGGATCCACCTCTCCGTGATCTTCTTGTTGGTATTTGGCACAACCTAAATTCAGTCACATTTTTCTTAACAGTTTGTATATGTGTCGGTTTTTACGTCTGCCGAACCTAAATCTCGAACTCACAATATCGGCTTTGTAGTCGGACACATATACTCCGCCATTACTCATTATTTGGCCATGAGTTCTTGACGCTTGATGGCAGTTTAGTAATTGCTTACGTTCTATAACGTGCTTATGTTAGAGTATGTAGTTAGTAACATGTTCTGTAAGTAGCTACCGATGCCCAACCCATTCTTTTTTTGCTAGCTAATTGTACATTTCTTAAGAACACATTTTAAAGACGAATGTTTGCAGTTGACTTTTTTTATCCCCTCCTAAATATTTTACCTAATTTGTTTTGCTTTCAATCTTTGCTTAACATTTGAGATTTTATTTGTCATTTTGAAGGTATCAAGTTACCGTCATTTGCCATTAGAAGGTCACCCGTTGGCTAATATGTTTTTGAGGCCAAAATGCTTAGCTTAAATACCATTGTTCTTTCAAGTGGAAAATCCTGAACCTGTGCTAAGCTTTTGTACATTTCGAGATTATTAACACTTGCCATGGAACTAATTGAGTGAAGAGTAAAATGATTAATATACCCTAATAAGATCGTATACAATTTTGTGAAGGGAATAATATAATGTTTTGTTATTTCATTTATTTACGTTTCCCTTGCGAAAATGATTCCTAAAAATTGATTTGATATCTAATTTAAATAAATTATCCACGAATTAAGGCTTAAAATTACTCTTTACCGTGGATTCAGAATAAATGCCGAATATTATCGCGAAAATATTCTGGAGGGTGTATTAAAGCCTTGGACACGCAAGCATTTCGGCCGCAGACCTTGGACACTCCAACAGGACTCAGCATGCGCCACCCAAGAATGGTTACAAAATGAGGTTCCTCGCTTCATTTCCAGTGCACAATGACTACCAAAATCTCCGGATACCAGTAGTATTGTGTCTGGAGTATTTTGGAAAGCAAGGTTGGCACTAAAAATACCACCTCAAGCGAACATTTCGCCGGGAATGGGCCAAAATACCGCAGAGCAACATTCGGGCTGTTTGAAGGCCATAAGTTATGCTAAAGGTGACCAATTCGAACAAATCTAAACTTATTTCTAAACATTAATGCTATTTCCGACATTTTTAGCTTTCATTCAATAAAATTTAGCGTTAGCGCTGCAGTTTTTTTATCTCACCCTGTATATTACAGAATATTTTGCTCGATAATTGTTTTTTCAAATTTTGAATTTAGAATTCGTAATGGGTACTACAGCCAACGACAGAAAATTGTGTATGCAGGTTCAGGCCTTCGTATAGGTCCCATACATCAGTACCTCCCTATATTCGGTATTTTGACGATTTTAGGTACAATATTCACCCAATTTTTTTTTTAAATTTCGTATTTGTAGTTCCTAATAGGTACTACAGCCTGACAAAAATGGCTTATGCAGGTCCTCCAGGTCTTCGTAGGTCCCATATATTCGGCGTTTTCATGATTTTGGCTACATTATTAAACTGGTGAATAAAGTTTCGAATTTGAATATTGTAATGGCTTATGACAAAAATTGCCTATGCAAGTCCACGTCTTCGTATAGGCCACAATTCGGTATTTTTAAAAATTTAAGAGAATTTTTTAACAGATTTTATTTTTTTTTTTTGAAAATTTCGGCTTGGTCGAACTTACTGCTTGTTTAATTGGTCGCACCGTGTAACAATAGTTCAAGGTTTTCTTATTATAGCCCTTTGTATTCCCGTTCCCATTAAATATTTATTACAGTATTTAGATTTTGGTTGAATGCGAACTTTTGTTCCTCTATTAAATAAATAGTTTCGCTTAGACCTGCCAACTTAGATTTGTTTTGCGGCATTGCAAATTTATAGCACACATTGTTCACACTTTATTAAAATTTAATTTATGAACATGCGGAGGTGGCCAAAAGCAAAAAAAAAAAAACATATGAAATATGAATTTCTATGGGAAAATAAATATTTTTTTGTACGATTCTTAAAACGGCAAAGCAAAATTCATGATATCTTTTTGCATTTATCTTTCACTCAAGCGGCAATTTTAATTGTATGTAGAACAGAAAAATTATGTTTTTTTGTGGGGGAAGGGGAGGGAAGGACATTTTGCTACTGCAGTGAATTCCGAATTGCATTGGATGCCGGTGCTGCTGTGCGGCAATGGTTAATGAGTTCAGGCGGACGAATGCCGCCGCAGTTGACTTTCATCGCGATGACAGCTGTGTCAAACATAATTTTGTAATTATGAAATGAAGGTTTTGGTTTCCACGATGCATTTCTCCTTTTTTTTTTTTTTTCTTTCAATAATAAAGAAAATAACACCGTTTCGAAAAACGATGCGACTTTTTGATTTTCATTAACATTTCATGCCGTAAAGCTATAAATTAATGAAAAAATTATAAAAAATTGTTTATATATATTCTTTACTAGCAAGTGCCCGCTACTTCGTCAGCGAAAAGAACTCCTTAAAATTTTCGATTCATTCCAACAGTTCATGTAAGGTCCTTTTAGTACTCAATATGCAAAACTTGTCCAGTTTCAAGGTTTCCACACTTTCAAGATTTAATATATTTTTTAAATTTTTCCTTCTTCGGAAAGAACTATAGGAACATGTTTACTTTTTACACCAAAAACTAACGAGGTGGTGGTAAATTTTACACTCCCTTCACATTTTCTTAAAATACTCTCTTCTATTTCGATTGACAAAAGTTTGGTTTGTTTAGTAAAACCATCCTACAATGAACCCACGTCCATTTTTTGTTCGAAATTATTTTAACAGCTTTATCTGTAAACCCTACAATATCAAATTTCAGAATTTCAGCTCTCACCCAATACCAAATTTAGTAACATGTAGTACGCATATCCAAAACAATCTACAACTCGCTATTCTAGCCACCAAAATCACCACCAGATACCACCTAAGACCTCAACATCAAATGTCGGGATTCCAGCTCTGCAATTTTCACCATAACCAAATTTAGTTACCTTATATCAACCTCAGACATTAAGAGTGACCCCCATATCAAATTTCAGAATTCCAGCTCCATCCCTTCACCTAATACCAAATTTAGTACTTTTCGTACAATTATAGGGTGA